AAACATTTGAATCTCTTCATGGTTTCATTATTGCGTGCAAGAAGACCATGTGAATTTCCCAGTTTCCTGCCTTTTCCACAGCAGTTCACTGCAGCGGCGAGCCTTAGCCACCAAACGGAGCCACAGATCTCAGGAGTGCATTCTGTTTTTCTTGCGAATATCCTGACCAATGATTTGTTGTTAAGACCATTGAAAGTTTGATATTTTGCAGTTTTGGGTTTGACCCATCTTTTTGGTCCAGGAGTGTATATAAATAAATATATAACATGTTGCATGAAGTATGTGAAGAAGTATGTATTTGATGCATCAGTGTATTTTACTCTTACCGTGTCGTCTTACCTACCCTGAACAGCTGCAAGAAGCAGCTCACTGAAGGTGTGTTTGTCACACGTTTGCACCTGTTGCACTCGAAGGAATAAAAAAAAAAATGCATTAAGATCCAGATCTTCCTTCAGTCTCTTATTAATATCCAAAGCAGCTCTGATCTCTACACTGCTATAGACACAGTACTTTGAAATATGCTTCACTGAAATGAGAGAAGATCCATATTCAGTAACAAGTGTGATGTCCTTAAAGCATGGTGAGATGTCACTGTGGACCCAATCTGGACCTGTGGCTCTCTCTCTGACTCCTCATGCTCTCCTGAGATTTCCTTCTAATATTCAAAAACATGCAACTGTGACTCCTATCTATGTTATTTGTGTAACTTTCAGATGAAATCACAATATCTTTTTAATGATATCCATCTATCCATTCTTCTGTCATCCATTTATCCATTACCATGTATACAGTTTTAATATCAGCTCTATAACGAATCATTTTCCATGACGATTGGCTATTCCTGTTTCACAGGCTGTTGGAAATGACTTAATGATCCAGCTGCTAACAGCTGTCTGTGCAGTATGGTGAGAGCAAACAGGAAAGGCAGCATAGTCAGAGATGAAGTAGAACGACGCTCTGAGGAAACACTGCGGTTCACGGGACACATTCAGCTTCGAGCTGACCTCCCCATCTCCGCCCACCCCCCCAGACTGGGAAGAACCCCCCCCAACTCCATTAATCAGGGCTACCGGCACTTGGGAGATAAACGTCTCAGCTGTGAACGAGCATCCTCCGTGCATCCTATTCCCAACACGCTCGAAGCTGCAGGTCTTCAGCTGAAGCCCGATTAGCGGTAATGACCTGGGCCCGCCGAGCCGTCCTCCCCACCACCGATAGCTTGGGCTGGCGTATGCCGGGGGGGCGCGGTTTATTACCTCTATCCCTCCGTCTCCCCACCATTCCCGGCGCGTAGAAGTTAAGCCCCGCTGTGTGAACTACGGAGACGGGACCGACGTTTCAGCCGGAGGATTTCCTTAAGCTAATATGGAAGCTAATTATGGAAGCCTTTGCTGAAGGATTTGAAGCATAATAGAAAAATAAATCAAGGGCAAAGTGGACCTTCCCAGTTAAAGCTACTGGTTTCCAGGGTCTGGCTGACTCACAATGTAAATCACAGGCTCACATTAATCCAGCGTCCAGGAAATATGGTGTTAAACTTAATAGTGTGGCGGGAATGAACACTCACGTGTGATCTTTTCTCAGCATGTCGTGTGGTTTTTCCACCACTAACTGTCCAGGAAGCTAAAACCCAACAGAGAGCAGGAGGCTCTGGAGGCCTGCAAACCTCACTCAGCAACACCGTGCAACAGCTGAAGGGGCACAAAGTGCTGAAGTACAAACGTGTGTCCAATTGGGGATTGACCTTTATCATCCTCATCATCACCATCATCAGCCTAACCTCATGCCGTACCTGCTCCTGGCAGCCAGTGGGTTTTATGATGATGATGATGATGATCATCATCATCATCATCATAATGGTTAATGCTCCTCCACACAGACATGTATCAGAGGTGAACAGCATTTCCACCCATACCTGAGACATCCATTTCTGTAAATAAATGTAAATATAAAGGTCAGCAGTGATGCCCCTCCCCCCACATGAAAATGTCCACTGGAATGTCCCCGAGACACACAGCAGAGGCTCACACACAGGCTGGGGGGGGGGATGGGGGGCCTATAAGGACAATACATCCCCTTCCCTCCTCACTGAATAGTGGAACACAGGTGGGACCCCCCTGCCCCCCAGGCACCCCTGCTAGACTGGCATGCGGCCCCTCCAGATGGCACCATGGCTCGGGGTGGGGGCCACGTCTAGCCCTTGTCAGCTGGCCAATCATCTCGTCGACCCCCTCATTGGCAGGCAGGCCGGTGGGGTGACTGGGACAGTAATGTCAGAGTGACTCCACACTGACGCCTGGGACACATTCATAGGCAGGAACTCCAACGGGCACCGGAATCAGAACCAGAAGCACCACATCGCGCCCGCAGCATCAACAAGTCCGAGTCTCTTTAACACAGCGTAGGAGAGGCAACGCCAGACATGTGGTGTCTGCTTCTGCCCCAAAGGCAGAGATCAAGCTAAAGGAACTCAAAGAAACTCAGATGCAGCCCCTTCCCGGCCTAGGGCTTCACGCCACATGGGGGCGCTATAGAGGTGCCTTTCCCACATTCTGCTCACGTCACTGATACACACCATTCACTTTCCCCAGATGTTTTTCCAGCCTCGTAAAATTCTAGATATCCATCCATTCATAAACACATTTCCGGTACTGGGGTTATTCTATACATTTATAGTAATCTCTTAAAATTAACAAGCCAAGTATATATATTATTTCTGCAAGTCTGCATAAGATTAAAAGTCCATTTTAATTAAATATGTTGCCACCCTGAATTCCATTGTTAGTGTTTTATTAATCCTTATTTCAAATTTGGAGCAGACAATATCAGAGTAAGTAAAAAATGGAATCATGTAATCAAATAAAATCTAAAGTGTGTCCAAAAGAGATAGATGGACAACAGGAGCGTCCATCTGGAAGAGGAGAGTGCCTGCTGCTTAAGTGGGACAGCTGCCAGACGGGTTCTGCCAAGGCAGAGAAAGGGGGAGGTAGAGACCCGGGAGGAAAGATGGATGGGGGGTAAGGGGGACAGACTGGTCGGTGGAGGGGTGGATGGACAGATGGGGAGATGGACAGATGGAAGGATAGATGGATAGGTGGATGGATGGACAGGTGAATGGACAGATGGTGGTTGGATGGAAGGGTGGATCAACTGATGGGAGGAAAGATGGACGGGTAGGTGGATGGATGGAAAGCTGGATGGAGAGATGAGAAGAATGAATGGATGGACAGGTGGATGGACAGATGGGTGGATGGACAGATGAGAGGATAGATGGATGGGTGGATGGACATATGGGAGGATAGATGGAAGATGGATGAATGAATGGGTGGAAGAATGGATGGACAGACAAACAGTTGAATGGACCGGAGAACTGAAGATTGGACAAATGAGCAGAAGGGAGGGCAAGCGGATGGACAGACAGACATATGGGCAGATGGACGGATGGACAGATAGATAGTTAGTTGGCCTTTGGACTGTGGTGTACACTGGAATACCGCAAGGATACTGCACTCCATGCCCTGGAATTACATGGGGTAATGGAGTTCATGTTTCAGTCCGGAGTTCCAGAGATCTTTCCTGTCTTCCTACTCTCCAAACTTACAGATTTTCTGGCATCTTCATAAGAGACGTAAACCTTCATATCATATCTAAACAGACATTAACTATTTATTTACTGCATTTTTATGCAGTATTTGGCAATGCACTGGGGGGGCACTCAGTGCTTCTGAGTGTAGCTGTGACTGCGACTCCCTGATGAACGTATACTCTGCTTTTTGCGGCCATGGGAGAAGCCTACCCTCCATTTTATGTCACGTTCGATGTTTGGTGCATGTGTGGTTCGTATGCGTTCATTTCCAGCGTTCATTTCATTTTCATACGCAGGATAATGTTTACTCCAGACACACAGGCCTCAGGGCCACAGCCTTACTGAGCGCGCTCCAGCTCCCCACAGCGTATTTGGAAGGCTTTAAAAAAAACTTTGCATCTCATTGTTTGAAGCCCTTAGGAAGCCCAGAGATAAAGTAAATGTTGGAACTGGAGTTACCCACACCCCCACCCCCACTCCTCCCCGACCCTTAATTTAGATTCTGGAAACTTCCCTGTGCAATTAAGCTGTGGGAAGAAGCTCAAAGACAAGAGTGTCTAGAAGGCAGGTCTGCTGAGTTGAAACTGGGTACTGATCCAGAGAACGGAGAGTGTGAAGTCTTGCCTTATTTGTCATCGTTTAGTTAGCTACACTGTACGATTAACAATCAGAAAACTCACAGGGAACAAATCATGGCCCCCGTGAACTCATGTGACTTCTCTCTCTTGTGGTGACACAGGCTCTCCGCGTCCTTAACGTTTACGGTCCTCATGTGCTGAGCACATGGAACTCAACTGAGGTCACATCCTGCGAAATGTCCCCCACAATCGCGTGGACGAAGCCGTCGGCACATGCAGACCCTCGAGCCGCTGAAGGCCCCGTCACAGTGCTGGCTTCATCCTGCGTTTGTAGAGGTTGTGCTTTTCGTTGAGGGTTTACTGCCATCTTCTACAACCTCTAGGATTTGTCTGAGCTTCATCTGGTGGAGTCTGTGGTAACCTTTCAGGTGAATGTGGTTCCTCTGTTGGGTTGGTTTGGGATTGGGGATACACTGAAACATGAGTCCCAAAAAGCACAAAAAGCTGTGTGTGTGTGTCTGGGGGGGGATCCAGATATATACATTATATTGTGGAGACCAAAGGTCCCCACAATGTGATAAAAAAGACCTGTTATTTTGATGTTGTGCAGACATTTTTTTCAGTCTCCACAAGGGGAAATTCAATTTTACAAGAATTTGTGACTGCAACCAAAAAACTAAAAAAGCCAAAAGACTTATATTTCGTTAGGTTACTTATGGTTAAGGTTATGGCTGGGTTGGGGTTAAGGTTGTCATTATTGGGATTAGGGTTTTGCCCATAGAAATGAATGGAGAGTCCCCACAAAGTTATGAGTATAGGTCTGTGTATGTGTGTGTGTGTGTGTGTGTGTGTGTGTGTGTGTGTGCACGCACGCACGTGTGTGTGCCCTTCTGTCCCATCCAGGATGTATCTCTGAGGATCACTGCAGTCCCAATTGGTTACTAAAAACAGGGAAATAATTTCAATGGCTCCAGACCCATGAAATATTAATAATAATCAGGGTGACCGTTTTTCGATTAGTTTCATATTTAAAAATAAAAAGAGGTCACTGCCTGAGGCATCTGTGTAACAGGCTGCTGTGTGAGTTACCGATACTCTTCCAGGAAACGGAAATTAACGGCACACGTGACTTTAAACCAGTGCCTTGTGTCATACGGTCATCAAATTAACAGTCATCTGTCAGGCATATGAGATTAACATATGTCCCATGGTGTGATATGCTATAGCCAAGCCAATAAAGATAATTAATGGAGCCACAAACATAAAAGTAAAATTTTTATCAAAGCCCACTGGGAAAAAATGGCAGGGGGGGTCTGGATGTTAGTGGGTCTCAGCCCACATCTGTAATCTGCAGTCAGGGGTGGGCTTGTTTTTTCAAGGGCCTGACCCAAAAAGTCATTTCAGTCCCCCACTGCCATTAGGTAGCAGAGCCAGAAGATCATAGCTAGCTGAACATGTCCCTTCAGCGTCCCCTATATAAGGAATGTGCCTTTTTCATATTTAGTGTAGGGACTGTTTGTATCCAACAGGGGGCCTCTCCGAGCGTATGTCTGAGAGATACCCAAACGGCAAGCAGCTTGTGGTTCAAGCTTTGCCCGTTGGTGCCACAGTACGTGAATAAGGCAAAAGGCATCACAGGATGTCTGTAAAAATGCATTACGTCACCTGGCTGAAAAGAGGGTTCCCAGGGGCCACCATTAAGGGACAGGACATGTAGAAATGTGACCCCTATCTCCAAGGGCAACCGTTGTGGGGAGTTTCCAAGTGGAACTATCATATCTGGAGGACTTTGATCTTCTAACAATGTCTATCGGTTATTATTAATATTAACACGACTTTATTTATGCAAGTCGGCACCTGCACACCCTAAGTGACCCAGATGGTTGACGCTTGCAATTGCTGCCACAAAGCGGGTCTTCACATATAAGCCTCTTCGCAGGGACGACACGGACCTCTTTCCCGGTGACAGCCACAGGTCACCTGTCGTACTGGGTGTGTGGTGACCTGTAAACACCAGAGAGGGGATTTTGAGCGAGGTTAATTTTAGACAGCAACGTCACCCACAGCAATTCAAAACAACAGTGGCACGCAGACTTAGGTCATTATTTTTCTGGACAAGTCTGCTCACTGGAGCTGAGGTGCCGGGGCAGAGGAGGTCATATCCTACTCCGGACGCCGGTTCGAATCCCTTGAGATGCACAGTCACCAGCACATAATAGATAATAAAACATCACATGACACGCAATGGCTGAAATTTGCACAACCTGCATTAATGACTAATACGGACAGTTAAAACTAACTCAAAACAGAATATTTACCATAGACATTTCAATTGTAACCCTTCATTAACCGTTCCAGTGAAACCAATCCTCTTAATCATATTTTACCTCAGATCTAATTACGTTTGGGTCTTAAAGGATCAAGCAAGTTTGGTAATAACTTCCTACGGTAATAAAAAACCCTCCTTTTCTTTATTGGTTTTGAAATGATATTGACTCATTCTCATAACGGCCGTCCCAGGGGGTCGGAATCTGAGTATCTACCAGCTTCTCTGAAATAAATGTGTGTGTTTTTTTATCCGCCCAGTATAACCTGTTTCTGGCTCTGCAACAGGACTGGAAGGAGGATTTAGTCTGTGATGAAAGTGGACAGCTAGCGGACGAATCAGTTCATAAAAAAATAAAGAAACTGATCTGCTTCTCCATGGACCTGAACATACACGTTTACTGGCCCCAACATATGGAATCGGTCTCATTTCCACTGGCCAGGACTCATCAAATAATTCATAGTTCAGATGTTTATACACCTTTCCCATATTTGCCATGTGAGGGTGTAAAATGTACCATTGAGGGGGAAGCTGATCGCGAGCTACAGTGTTTTTTTTTTTCCTTTTTGCTGGCGTGAGAGACAGCCCAGACGGGACGGTCACCTGACCAGGCTGAGGACCTCAGGCGTCAGCCAAACGCCGCAAAGCAGATGTTCACGCCCATTGACCCTCCCTCCTGGCTTTTATGTGGTCATAGTGAGTTCCCCCAGCTAGATACCCCTGTTTCGCTGCTAGATACCCTAATTCTGCTGCTAGAATCCCCCATTTGGGCACCTGATACCCCCATTTGGGTACCTGATACCCCTATTTGGTTTCTAAATGCCTCCATTTGGCTGCTTGATACCCCTGTTTGGTTTCTAGATACCCCCCTTCGGCTTCTAGATGCCCCCATCTGGCTGCTTGTTATGGCCATTCATCTTCTAGATGCCCTCCCATTTGCTGCTAGATGCCCACATCCAGCTAATTGGTAAACTCAGGCAAACAATCGTACTCACAAGCAATCTGACTGGGACCCAATTTATGGCTGTATGCCCTTAAATGGCTTTCTGTACGAACATCAAACCACATCCATCCCGCTATAATCCGCCCTGGCTTCAGAGAATGGAAGCCCCGTCGCTAAGCAACAGGATGCCATGGCGAGGGCTTTTGGACCAGCAGAGGTGTGCATTATCCTCAGGGTCTCCCACAGCCAAGGTCACGATTCATTCCGAGAAGAGTCAGAGAGAGAGCTGACAGTGTTGGTCCAGCAGGGGAAAGTTCTACATAAAGAGCAGATTAATCACATCTGTGTCCATTCAGTCATCTCCTGCCACGTGATTCTGATTATACACAAGTGCCTGAGACCTTTGTCTGCTTGACGAACTCGGTAATGAAAGAAGTGACTTTAAACAAAAAACATCTGTCGAAGGATCAAAAATAAGCAGACAATGAACTTGCAGAATTAAATTAAATCTGACTGGATCAATGGCCTGTTAAGACACATTGTTTTTAACCTGTTTGCTTAGAACCATAGTTTTACATTACTGGAAGAAGTAGACACCATAGAGAACTGTCACATTAGTTCTCATTTCCTCACTGGATCTGTTTCCACTGGATCTCATTCCACTGGATCTGTATTTCCTGGACAGTTTAAATAACCTCTGTGACCTTGTATTGAATGATCAGCTGTATGATAGACAACTGGAAGAATTATTTGTCATTAACACACCTCTCATAGCTCACAGATCACCCACGTCCTACTCTGACTAAATTAAGCAACCATTTTAGCGTTGGATTCATAACCCCCTCTCCCTGAGAAAGCCCCCCCCCTCCCCCTCAGCTGGCCGTCAAATGGCTCCCCAAGGCCCGTATATGCAGTCAGGGGCTCTTCCTCAAGATGGCTGCCAGTTCCCTCCTTGTTTGTTTCACAGCGGTTAGCATGGAGCCACTAGCTATAAACCGCACATATCTGGGGTTAAGTTAATCTGCAGCTAGCATTAGGCTTTCACATTCAGACCCAGGATTCACGATGCGTTGCGTTTGTCATCATTGGGGGTCATTATCACCCGGACACTGAAAATGCGTTACATGCTAAATGTGAACATTAGAACACATCTGTGATATGTTTTATTATAATGCTAAAAACAATCTTTACATTTCTTACACTACCTGCTATCAAACCTGGTGTGACCGTGTTTCAAGTTGTGGCTTTTTCTCCTTTGAATTCAGATTCAAAAGACGGCTTTGATGATACAATTAAAGCACAATGTACGATGTAATTCAGGGACAATCGCCTAAATTGTTCCAGTTCAGGGTGACGCTTCTGCAGTGAACACACACTGCCCCTCCAACATGGTCCAGTGTTGGTAACAGCAACAGGAAGAGAGGCTGAATTTGACCAGTGACGGCTCTGTGAAGCTCACCACACCCCCCCCCCCCCCNGTCCTGCACATTCTGCTGCCTGAGCCGGTCCAATTACTGGCTAATTATCTGTACTAAATATACACTCGGTATCACATCCACAAAACACAGCGCCAGAGCCCCGTCCTTCTGGATGGCACCGCGAAAACATCCCTTTTAGACATGAAACACAATCATGGAGGTATCACAGCAATGCCCCGATTTAATTGCCTCATTAGCCACAGCAGCACCAAAGTCGGCACATGGGGCCCCGTCGAACTGAGCTGGACACCCAGAAAAACAAAATAGCGGCCGGCGAGCTAACTCTTAGCATGCTAACGGCTCGTGCTGAACACACGTCACCCCTGGATACTGGATACCTTGGAGACATGATCTGGGAAGGTGTCAGAAGGTGTTGCAAACTACAGCGGACCCTTATTTTCCTGCTATTAGAAACCGAGCAGAAGAAACTCATAAAGAAAGCTAGCAGTAGAAGGTTATCTTTGGCCTTGAGCTCTGACCCCCAGTCCAGCACGCTGAGGAAGAACATTGGCAAATTGCTGGAAGACAATTTCAAGGGTGACCTACGGGAGAACTATGGGAGAACGGGCAGGCGGGGGGGGGGTGAATGTGTGTGTGTGTGTGTGTGTGTGTGGGGGGGGGGGGGGGGGGGGGGGAAACCGCTTCTCATTTCGCGTCTGGCTAGGCTGCTTCGCCACCTCCGCCAGACAGCCGTTTCCGAGTGACCCCAGGGTTCTGGGTCAAAGCGAAACTGAAGTCCAGGACGATGATCAGAGCCACAGCACGGCTCCAGGAAATGTCAGAGCGTTGGCTGTTTGGGACAGTCGGTGGAGCATCAAGTCAAGGTAGCAGAGATTGGCTAAGCCACATGAGCATGGGGTCAGCCAATGAGATCGCCTGCATAACTAAACACCAGGCCCTACAGCCAGTCGCTGCCATGTGGCAAGCAGACATGCAATCAGAGCAAAGTCCCACACTTCAGATATGCGGCTAAGTCCAAGGGCAGCATGGTCAGCCATTTGCAGTTGCATCACTTCCTGTGCATACTGCTCCATGGATCCCGATTCAGCACATCACATATGTGCCTCATGTTCAGTCTCGCATCCAATGCTTTAATTGCCAATGGCACCTGCAGTCCGTACCTGTCTCGGGTTCTGCTGCGCTCGCGCCACTGATGCAGAGTGCCGTTAGCAATTAGCTTCATCTTCATTTACGATAATAGATGACGAAAGAGGGAAAACAGCACACGCAGCATTCGTCCCCGAATTATCTCAAATGGCTTAGAACAATTAGCAAATTGGGTAATTAGGCCCTGGAAAGAGGCCGCCCCGTATAAAGGCGTGAGCATCGTGATTAACGGGCCAGGGCATGTCAGTGCCCGGTATGAATCATAGCAGCTGGTAGCCGTTGTGTCGCTCTGCCGGATGTTTCTGCTAATTAACGCTCGGGGCTCTGACGTCGTCTCCTTCCATCTTAATGAGCGGGGAAAGCTTGAAACACGGCAAGGCAGCTGGATGGCCGAATCACCACTGACTTCAGAAGGCCCTCGAAAAGGAGCACCACCCTACACCCCCCGCCTTCCTGAGCGTAGCGCCCCCACATGCAACACAAGGGACTGAATACCTCAGGGTTCAAGTGAAACCGCTATCGATTTTAGGCTAATAGGCGCAGGACCGGCAGGTGGTGCCTGGGAAAGGGGAGGCAACTTGACCTACGGCCTGTATCACAAAGCTGAAGTTTTGGGTGAGCAAGAGTCAGATTTAAGGTAGTCTGAGCTAAATATAAGTGAACGAAGATAAAGTCAGGTTAAACTGGGCTACCTTAAATCTGACAAGTTATCTGGCTAAGCAAAAAATCCGGCTTCATAATACAGGCCCCTGGGCTCTTAACCCGAACTGCTGAAGTGGGAGAAAATACAGCTTGCTTTGGAATTAGCAAAACTCCCACAAGTCTTCCATTGTCTTCCTTACTTTTAACTTCATTTAGCAAGATACTTTTATCCAAATAGATAGTATAAGTGCGTCAAATAGCAAATAACACATACACTGATATGTGTGAGCACACTGTTAAAATTGAATAGGGCTACAATGTAATGAAACGCCTGTTATTATCTAATGAGTCACAGCCATGAGAGAATGACAGGGGTCAACAGGATTCGGCACCAAGCTCCCTATCAGCTTGATGCTGCTATGCCTCTTATCAAGAAACACAGTCAGACAGACAGTTTAATATATAAACAACTATAAGAGGCAACTTTAACCCCTACAAAAAGCCATTC